GAATAAAAAACTGGAGAACTTGTGTTAACTTCTTATTTAATATCTCAGTTGGGTATGGTTTTTTGGTGACTGCCCCAGTTTCTCTGAACCGCTTCACAACTCTGATCACAGTTGAGATATCGACACATAAATTGGATGCAATACTGGAATATGGCAAGGAAAGACCTTCCTTTTGATAGACCATCTTCCATCTCAAGTCATTTGAATACGCTGCTGTCCTTGCTGGTTCGCTAGAAGTCGCCATAATGATTCAAAATCGCTCTGCTGGTGTGACGTTCAAGTTGTCACGTGACCAAAGGTATGGCAAATTTTCTGCAAAGCGCTGTACCGTGCTTTGCAGGTTGCTTGACCTTGCAAACTCGTAATCACATGACTTTCACCATACTAATAATACATGTCACGTGGGCAGGAAGTGGGTCAAGCAACCTGCAATGCTCTGTAGCAGTGTCACCAGACCCTTCCTCCGCAGGTAAGCGAAGGGGCGGGGCGAGACTATCGACCTACATGTATCTCCGGACAACTGGTTGGTTAATAAACGAGAACCGGGTGTGTTTTGGGCTTTGGGTGCGGTGGGCTGGAATTCAGTTTGCAAGAATGGCATCTAAAAGTGAGGGCCACTATTCTCTTCCGGCCTTTGTATCTCTTTCATTCATTCTTTGTCTCTCTTACTCCGCTCTCACTTACTTTACTCCATTGTATCCTGTCGGCCTTATTCTAACTAATCACTATATTACTGTTGGCTCTGTTACTGTTACCTCTTGTTCTCTATAGACTATCAACCAGTGGAGAGAAGGGCCCACTCCACAGTAAAGGTAGGAGACTACATATATGTGTGGGGTGGGCACCCATCTGGAGACTTTAATAGTGATCTTAATAACTTAATGACATCATCAATGGACCTGTATCACTTACCAACTGGTTCATGGGAGGGTAGACCAACAAATGGCAACCCTCCACTACGTGCCAGTGGATATTCATCCGTTGCTATTAGAAACAACATCTATTACTTTGGTGGTGCTAGGGATAGCAGTTATCGCAATAGCATGCATTCCTTCAATGTGGATTCATTCAAGTGGAGGGAACTCTCTCCTTCTAGTTCTGATCATGGTCCAATGAAGAAGGCCCGCTGTGGAATGGTATCAGCTCATTTTGATGGTGAAGACTATCTTGTAATAATTGGAGGACTGGGATCATCTTCTATCAATACTCCAAAGCAACCTGATGCTCAGTATTCAGCTGGTGGTAGATGTAATGAGATACATTATTACAGGATTTCATCAGGTCAGTAATTCTCATCATTGATTCACAGTAGTTAATAAGTATTTCAAACTGAATAATTTATATTAATGTACTGTACATGTACATACTATAGGGTGCCTTTTTTCAAGGGCTATAATTTTCTTGGATTTTTATTTTGCAGATTTAATCTTCTCGAATTTATGCCATCTTGTACTGTAATAATTTGATTTTTGCGGAAGTAATTTTGTGATTTTTTTTTTAAATTGGGAAATCTGTAAAATTTATAGCCCTTAAAAAAAGGCACCCTACGGTGAAACAGATTGTTAATAATTAAGTGTGTTTGTTAGTGTGTCTCTGTGTGTCATGTGTTTGTAAAGGATGGTGATGTGTGTCTATAGTGACGTGTGTGTGTGTACTAATACATACATTATGATGTGTCTGTGTATGATAGTGCATATATTGTATGTGAGAATTTATGAATGTATGACGTGTATCTATAATGTGCATGTTATATGTGTGTGAGTATCATCATGTACATGTATCTGTGTATGTGTGATGTTTGTATATGTACATGTATCTATACATAAGCTAATGTGACATGAGTGTGTGTGTGTGTGTAACATGTGATAGTGATGTGTGTCTATGCATGATGTGTATGTATAAATAATAATGTACACACATATACACATACATATGTATGATGAATGTGTATAGTGTATGTGTGTGTATGTGGTAAGTAAGTGTACATGAATGTTTGTACATTATTATTAGATCAATGGATATCTCCTGTTGTTACTGGAGACAGACCACCTCCTATTAGTCACTTCACTCTAACACCAGTTACTAATAACACTGCAGTAATGATCGGAGGCTATATTGATAATGAATACAGTGATAAACTGTATATGATAAGTTTTACTAAGACATCTGTGGTGAGTTAACTGTAGGATTGGTTTTGATTATGAGATTCTTTTGATTGTAATTTGTGCCTTGGTTTGCAATTAAATTGAAAAAATTGTTATTCCATCAAAGGTGCATTGGCAATTTTTTTGATGAACAATGAACCAAGTGTACATTAATATTAATTTAATTGTACGACAATTTTTTTATTACATTGATTTTATGTTTTATTAAGGATATATTAGAAGTACCTAATCCTGGAAGATCAGTACAATGGCCTGAGGGAAGATGGGGTCATTCCAGTGTACTAATTACCACTAGTTCAGGACCACACTTACTAGTGGTGGGTGGATCACCTGCCTATGATGTATGGTTACTGGACATTAATAAAAGAAAATGGAAAGAACCGGTAAGTATTATACTAGACGAATGTAAAACATTAAAGGGGCAAGCCTAAGCAAGCTATAGATTATGTGCTGTATGATTTAGACGTCTGGGTTAGCAAAGCAATTGCACATGTCTAAATTCAGTATCTTGTTGTAGTCATTCTGCTTAAATTAAAGTTATCTTGCTTATAGTTAGAAGCAGTCACTGAACAAATCATGTTTGAAGATTGTATATCGGCTTTGTTAACCTAGGCTTGCTCCTAGAGAAGAAACATCACCTAGAATAGATCTCATGATGCATGCAGCTAGCAGTACAGTACATGCAGCTTTCTCGCTTGCATTCACCTTAGCAGAATCCTTTATACCAAGGAAAAGACTGTACATCTGCTTTCCCAACTTTTATTCTTGCTAGAGAAGTTTCAGACAGCAGTTTAGCCTTATCTAGCTGACCGTTTCCTGTAAAATAAGCTCGGACTTGCTTATAGCTGCCATTTTATTGTTGTCACCACACCTGCTTTCAATGAAGATTAGGCTATTTAACTTAATAATAGTTAGACTGTCTGCCCATACAAACATACAGACATTTTCTCGCCTGAGTGGGGCGAGCTTAGGCTCGCCCCAATTATGATGCTTGATAATGAAGTATAAAGTGATTAACTAAAGTAGTAACTCATGAGGTTTGTAATGTACATGTAAATACTGTAGGACGATTAATTTTCGCGAATGCTAATATGAATTTCCATTGAAACGGTTTAGATAGTTGCTAAGGCGATTGACCATGTGTTTATACAATTACAATGTTCAGCAGCTAATCAGCTTTTCTATAGCAGCTTCAGTGGAGCCACCCAGCTCTTTTTTTATCCCGTTATATTCTTGTATGGACCACTACCTTCGAGCTCTTTGCTGCAAAAGCAGTGCTGGTCTGTTGGTCATGATTATAAGCCACACCTAAGTCAATAAACATAATGTTTATTGATTTGGGTGTGGTTTATAATCATGACCGACAGACCAGCATCAAAGAGCTCAAAGGTAGTGGTCCATACAAGAATATAATGGAATAAAAGAGCTGGATGGCACCACTGAAGCTGCTATAGAATAGCTGATTAGCTGCTGAACACTGTAATTGTATAAACACGTGGTGAATCGCCATAGCAACTATCTAAACCGTTTCCATGGAAATTCTTATTAGCATTTGCGAAAATTAATCGTCCTACAGTATATTATGATACTCAGTAAAAACTACTGAAGAATAATGCTGGTATTCAGTATGTGTGAGTGTCTGTTTTAGTGTGAATGTGTGTTTGTGTCTTTTTGTGTTTTGTGTTTGTTTCTTTACCTAAATATGTGTGAATATACATGTGTTGTATGTAAAGATGGATTCACAATTGATACAGTGTCAATGCTGGAATTAAAATAAATTCTATTTTATATACATTGTGTATATTGTGTATGTACATACATGTATTTGTGTGTATGTGTGCATATGTTTTAATATGTGTATGTGTGTACTAACACGTACATCATGTGTACATGTAACATGTACATGTGTGTGTATGTGTGTGAGCAATTATGCATGCTTTACATGTACATTTATATGTGTATGCATGTATAGATGTACATGTATGTGTGTTAGTGTGTCATTAGTATGTGTATGTGTATGTGTGTACATGCAGACACTTAGTAAGTTCTTAATTGAGGACTCACATGATATAATAACATGCTCAGTTGTGTATAATTGTCTATTAATATGTTGTGTATTATTATTATGTCATCTTTGTGCCACATAAAACAAAACACACTGTGCAGGCTATGAAACTGTCAGTTAGTTATTGTGTTTATTAACCAGATTTCAAATCAATTATTTTGTCATATACAAGTTAATTATTATCATTTTAATTTTATAGATTAATCTACCAGACAATGTCACTAACAGACGCTGGCATTCTCTTTCAGTGTGGAATGTGACCCCAACTACTAACTGGATAATTGAGTTTGGAGGAGAGAGAAATGATTTCACAACAATAAGTGATACAGCAGTTATTGAACTCAGTAAGTACATGTAGACAGTAGTAGATACAATGTGTACTGAATATTTAGTATTGATAATATTACAATAAAGTAAGTAATTTTTATATGATGAATATTTAATGAGTGCATTTGAAGTACATGTATGCCTATGATACTAATTATTACCTGCTATGTACAATGGTGAATCATAGATACAGAAACACTGATATTAATAGGAGCTAGAGTGAATGAAATATTATCATCAGTGTATTTATATACAATAATATGTTCATGTGGTAAACTGTGTAAACTGACAGAGGTCACACATACAATGATTAAGCATAAATCCATCAATAATAAGGTTACCATAGTAACTAACTGTATTTAATTTGTATATCTCTTATTCTCCACTATTTTGTTACTGTATAGGATATACTAGTGATAATGATTGGTCTACTAGTGTAATACCTCTGGACCAGTATCAAGATCAACTAAGACGAAGGATACTGAGTGATTGGGAGAATTTAGGAACAGAAAAACAGCTTAGAGTATTTCAAGATTGTTTGCAATTACAAAGAGAGAGAAAATTCTATCAGGAGCAGCTTCAAGGACAAAAAAAAGAGAAGGAGCAGATACAGCAAGATCAAGGCAAAGAGCAGCAACAACTTCTTCAAGAAAAGGCAAAATTTACTCAGCAACTTGATGATGCTACCACTTTCCTTGAGCAAGCAGAAAGGAATAAATCAACTCCTGAATTAGGTACTATTTTGTTGTACTGTTGTTTATGTGTACATTGTTTACATTATAAAACTAGTGGATTACACTATGTTACTATGTGTTGGGAATTAAATGATGTTATTATTATTCATGTGTGTTAATTGGTGTTAATTAATATTATTTTTGTGAGCATGCGCAGTATGTGATGCTGTGCAGTTGAAGAGAAGAGAAGTAGACATTAAACAAAAGAGCCAATTTGTGTGATACTGTATCCAGAGCGATCGGACAGCCAGTATTTCGAAGTCCCTATAAAAGAACTCAGCATCAGCTATCGTACACTATGGAAATAGTATCCTGTATTCAATATCCATGTAGGTCAAATTGTCCATGCATTAAAAATGATGAGATTCATGTAGAGTGAGCTCTGCCTACCATACATGTTATATGGTATCATTAGCAATAATCATAGTACATGTATTTATGGGCTACTGTACATGCAGTGCAAATTTGTTTAAGCAACAAATATCATTTTATTTTCTGTTTTTGTTTTTTTATTAATGACAGAAGATAATGAGAATCTCAAAGTTAAGGTTGCTGAAATATTGGAAGAGAAGACACAAGTAGAAGAGAAGAAACAGATTATTACTGGTTAGTGTATCATCAGTACATAATGTTAGATAAGGGAATATTCTATTAATTTAGAAGATTATGAGAAACTTCAAATCAAAGTGACTGATATGGAGGAACAATATCTCAAGGAGAAACAGATCATTATTGGTTAGTTAACTAACACACAGCATGTATTAGATGAGAGAATATGTTTATTGTGTAGACGATGTTCAAAGTCTCATTTTTGAGAAAGAAAAAGTTATAGCCAAACTGACATCACAAGTAGAGGAACAATCACAGAATGAGAAACAGATCATTACTGGTTAGTGTATCATCATCAATCAATAATAATTATTGATATTCTATTAATTTATAGACCTTAGAGCTAAAGTGTCTGATAACAAATTGTATACAGCCAAACTAATAAAGGAGAAGTCACAACTACAGGAGAGAGTCACATTCTTAGAGGAACAATCCATCAAAGAGACTAGTTCCATTGGACTACAATTTAATTACCTGATCCCTTCAATGGGTAAATTATTCATGTACATGTACATGTACACATGTGAATGATTGTGTGTGAACTATACTAGTATTAGATATGATGTGTCTGTATTGTTTCAGATTCACTAGACTCTAGTGTCATTATAGCTGGACAGAAGCTCTTTATCCTACAAGGAGACAGGTCTCATTCACTCCAGTGGGAGAAATATGGATTCAGATTAGAGTGTCCTCAAGGAGCAGTGTCCAAGGATACTGAAGTAGCTGTTACTGCACTAGCTGGTGGTAATTTCAAGGTACCCAAAGGTACTGTGCTAGTGAGTGCAGTATATGCAATATCAGTATCTAAGGGACTATTAAAACCACTGGTAATAGAGCTACAACATTGTGTGGATCTAAGGAACACTAGTCAGACTGGTTGCCTCAAGTTTGTGAGAGCTCCACTGAAGTCTCCCAATGCTTACCAGTTCAGTATAGTTGAAGGAGGATCTTTTAGTGTAGGGAACAGATATGGTTCTATTGAACGTGATGAATTCTGTGCTCTTAGTATTGTACATGTTGGTAATGGAGACACACCTAATGGAGGTGGGAATGTATCAGAGAATGATACACAAACTGAAGGTATACATAGTGTTTGTATTAATAATTTACTGTTGATGTGTTTGTATGATGTATAGGAACAAATAATGATAGTGAGGAGGAGACTAATGGAGACACACCTAATGATAGCAGTAATGGAGCAGGAGAGAATAGTAGTGGAGGAGGAACCACTCCATCAACAAGTACTACACCACCTCATGGTATGTAACTGTATCATGTATACTGCATGTTATGTTTTACCTTATAGACTCAATTAATGATGATCCTTCTCAGTTAGTCCATGAGGTAGGATGCCATACTACTGATGGACCAACAGTACAACAGTCAGATCATGTACTAAGTGATTCTGATGGGCCTACAGCTACTGTTACCAGTGAACAGTGTACAGCAAGGAATGATGATGAATCAATACAATCTTCTACTGATCATTCCACGACACAATCAGAAAATAATGGTATATACTATATGTATAAAAATGTTACGAATACATGTACATGTATACTTTTATAGCAGCTTCTCGTGATACATTGTATTCTGGAATGATGTACTATGATGAGAAAAAAGTTGGTTATTGGAAAGCTATGTATTCTGTTGTTAGAG